TACCTGCAAATGACAGGCTTCCAGGGTTTTTCCAGATTTATAGTGCAATAAACCAACAAGCTCAAGATGGACCTCTTGGCATTGTCCAAAGCAATGATGATTCTATGATGATTCTATTCTATGATTCTATTCATTGGTGGTGAGGCAGGCAGTGCAATGAGGAGAGTCAGTGTGGCCCCAAATCCCTCCTAAGACGCACAATGATGGGGAATGGGGAGAAGGTTTTCTGTTTGGATAAAGACTGTAACATGATGCTGTAGAAAGCAAACCCCACAATTCCCACTTGCAGTAACCAGTTTTGGCTATTTCCCCCACTTCCTTGTAAGTCACCTGTAGTGTTTGAAGGTGAGCTGACTGTGGTGTGCTGGGTTCCACAGCCCTTTGTGTGCATGGAGAACTGGGGCTCTGTGCAGCAGGAGGGGAATTTGGGTTTAACTGGTGTGAGGGGAGGGTGGTTAAGCCTTAGGAACACGCTCAGAGTCTGGCCTGGAGGGGTGAGGTTTGGTTCTTCAGACGTGTGGGTCTAAACTGCATTAAACCAATACCGCAATCACAGCGGCTCTTTGCTCAGCCCCTTGTTTTCTGCTCGGAGGTTGGTGTTTTCCTCTGCCCAGCTGCATGTACTGCTTCTCCTCTCAGAGAGCTGTGTAGATCAAGCTGCTGCGTCTTCCCTCTGTCGTATTTGTTGCTCCTTTGGTGGCATTTGAAACTTATGAACCGGTGTTCCCAAACCCTCCTGCTCTGGGATAAGCCTCAGGGCAGCGGCTGCTGGAAGATGCGCTGAGCTGCGACACTTGGCTTGCTCCAGCCTTGCCTCCCGAAGTTCTGTGTGCCTTTGGATAGCGTCAGCATTGGCTCTATGGAGCCAGACTTCATGGTGTGGAAATAGGAATATTTCTTGCTAAGCCAAAGCATTGCCCTAGGTTGTACTGTAGCGTGTTGGAATGACGCTGCTGGTGGTGATGGAGCCAAGTCCAGGGTGTGCCAGGGACGAAGGCTGGGCTTGGGTGTTTGTCCTTCCTCCTCTTTCAATGCGTTTGGGAGCTCTTTGGAAGTGGCTGGGAGTCCTCTGCCTGGAGATGGATGGGCACCTCTCGCTTTCATTCAGAAGGCAAAGGTGAGGAATGCTTCTCTTGTCCCCTCGCAGGGCTTTAGGAAAACTTCATGTGCAGTCCTGAAGGAATATTCAGGCACAGCACAGGGATCAGTGCTGGAACATGGGGTTGGGAGCAGGTCCTGCATGGCTTGTGGTTTTTCACTGGAGGCTTTCAACAGCATTAATAATTCACAGGGGCGGATGATTGATATTCCAAGAGTGATCCTAATGTATGGCTCACAGGGTGTATCAGCATGCAAAATACAGCTCGGGCTCCTCGTTCCTCTCATCCCTTTCTGCCTGTAAATAGGTTTTATGTCAGTGTGTGTGTGTCTGGAGATGCATTATTAGAGACTGAATGTTTTCTGTACAGGGGCTGCTGGTCCCACAAGTGGAAATGTGTGATTCTGGTCCTCAGTCTTCATGAAGAGTACCGCTGGGGTTGCACTGTGGGTTTATGATAGTGGTTACTGTTCAGGCTCCCTCCAGCCATGGCAGAGACCCAACAGCTTGCTAAATCCTGAGGTCTTTTCTTCTCAGCCTGTATTTTGAAGCAATGCCCATGGAAAAATCATGGTTTGGGTGTTTCTATGCACTAGAGCTGCTTGTGAGTGCTCCGTACAGCTCAGGAGATGCTGTTGATCCCAGTGGCCATGGCCCAGGTCTGAACTTAACCTTGATGACAGGATGAAGATAGTTCCTTTATCTGATTGCGAGTGAGGAAATACATGTCTTAAAATAATGAATGGTCCCTGAAGAGCATCTTTTCATTAGCATGTGTGTGTGTGTGAAAGCCTCCAGTCTATAAATACACAGTAGTTTCCTCCTCTGAGTCGATGGGGAACCCATCCCAGCTCTGCAGAAGTGTTTCTATCCCACAGCACTTGTTTGCATCCCAGGGACATGACGGGGCAGGACTGTGCTGGGTCACACCATGTATCAGGCGCCCAGTGAAGCGGGATGAGGAGCCGAAGATCCCATTTCACTTGAAACTTCTCCTTTTTATAGCACTTTTTCACTGGGGATGGTTTCAAACCCCAACCAAGCGGTACTTAACAAGAGCCCAGACCTGAAAGCGCACCTCAGACACAACACTGGGTGATGTTAACTGCCAGTTTGTTCTCACTAGGGCTGTGTTACTGCATTAAATGCAGTGGAACAGGGAGGTGTGAGTGCTGTGTGCTGCAGCCTGTCCGGCACAGGCAGGGAGCATCTGCCTGTACTTGCTGCTGTTCCTGCCTGCTGGCTGCCGCACGCCCGGGTGTGTGTAGGAGTCTGCAGCACCAACATTAACCATTACCTTAGGGAAAGGTAATTATTCCTGAGGAACCATACCCTGTTAAAGAGGAGCTGTGCTTAACTGCTTTCGTGCTGCTCGGAAGGTTGTTTGATCTTTACTCCCCACACTGCCAATGTGCTGCGGATGGCCCCAGCATCATCCCAAGCACAGTGAGTCCAGCCCTGTGGCAAGCATCCCTGTGTTGGTGCTAGGATCAGGGACAGCCAAGATTGTGGCAGATAAAAATATAGACCTTGAGTGGTTTTATCCCTGTCCTGTGTTTTAGGCATCTATGCTATGGTGCAGGGAGCAGCAGGGCACCACTCGGGGGGGTTTCCTTAGTGCTGGGGGAAGGCTGGAGCCTCCCAGAGCCCCATGCTCCTCATCTTCATCATGTCAAAAGGAGCGTGAGCATCAGCAGAAGGAAGGGATTCTCCCCTTCTACTGCACTCTGCGAAGACACCCCTGCAGTCCTGGTCCAGCTCTGGGGCAACGGCACAAGAGGGACATGGAGCTGGTGAGCTTTAAGGTCCCTTCCAACACAAACCAATCTGAAGTTCTAGGATCTTTTCCCTCTTACATGCAGCTCTTTTTAGGGAGCATCTCCTGGCCTTGTGTTTGCTCAGAGCCTGGTGTAAGCAGCCGTGCCTCCTGAACAGGACCTGTAGGTCTTGCTGCATGTCAATAGGTTTGATGCAAGGATCATCAGAATGCAGCAACGCAGAAGTCCTGTGGAGCTTCTTAATGACCGTACAGTGGCTCTATCTGCTTGCTCCTGGCAAAGAGCTTGATGTCCCCAGGCCATCCCCAGCACTGGGGGAGACTCCTGAGCATAACTTGGGGGTCCATCTGCTGTAACAGAGGTGCCTGAGCTACCTGCAGCATCGTTGGGGGTGATGCGGACACGTTGCTGTGTTAGTCAACTGGTCCTTCGGCCACCCTATCCTCTCTTGCATTGTGATCTCCTCGCATGAGCCCAGGTTACCATAAATACCATATATACAATATATAAATAGCATAAATATGTGGTCTGGGCTCACAGATTGTGTCATTTTGATGGTCTAAAAAGCTTTACTTTTCCATTTGTTGGTTTCCATTTGGTCATTGGGTTGCCCAGAAGTTAATGATGAAGCTACCAATAAATTGCATATTATAAACCCACCAGGGTCTCATAAGAAGCTGCAGACTGTAGGAGGGGCCCTTGGGGAGGGTAAATCTTTGGGAAATGTATTGATTCCCACTCCTGGCTTTGCACTCTGCATGAACTTTATCCTCACACAAGAATAGAAGGTGATTTTTCTTTACCAGCCAGCTGGCCTTCAAATGAGCTACTGATAACACCATCACAAGCTCTAATCCCAGTAAACACAGGGAAGATGATTTATGAGCTGGGAACAGAAGCCGTATCCATTCATGATGAGGTTTAATACTTGTTTGAAGCATACTCTCAAATACTGTCCTTAAATATCACAGTTGGGTTTGACTGCATGGTGCAAGATCAGTGCAAATGGTGGTTTTGGTTGTTAACTGCAAGGCAAATAGCAAAACACGATTAGAGGAGTGATTTGGGGAAAACATTGTTTTCCATAATCAGATTTGAAGTGCAATCTGTCTGCTTTTACACAGAGTAAGTTAATGGGCGAGGATGGCAGGAGGTGAGGCAGAGCCGATGGTCAGGTCTGGGTGGTGCTCTGTAAGCCTGGCTTGCCGTTCTTCACATGTGCTCATTGTGCAGCCATTAGCTTTTGCTGCCTAAGGAATAGGTAAGGATCAGGAGGTCTGGTGTGGCCTGAGGATATCAGGGCTGGGAGCCCTCTCCTTCCTTGTAGGCAACTCTTTGCCTTGCTTTTTCCCCAAAGGGCTCTTCATGGTTTGGGAATCGGGGAGTAACTGGGATGGGATGGGGGCATCCAGGGGATTTCACAGTCTGATGATGGAAAGGTTTTTTCTGCTGAACATCTGCTCCCAGTTGGTGTGGGGGCAAGGACTGCTTGGGGCTTCAATGAGCCATTCTTTCACAGCTTGGTAACTTCGGTATAGGGGATATGAGTTCCATTTATTGAAGGGAAGATTCAGAAGAAACTTTATCTATCTGTCTGTCTATCTATCTGTCTGCCAATCAATCTATCTATGTATCCATCCATCTATCAATCAATCTGTCTATCTATCAATCAATCTGTCTATCCATCTATCTATCTATCTGTCTGTCTGTCTGTCTCTGTCTCTCTGTCTCTCTGTCTCTCTGTCTAATCTACCTGCCTGCCTGCCTGCCTATCCGTCTATCTATCTATCTATCTATCTATCTATCTATCTATCTATCTACCTACCTACCTACCTACCTACCTACCTACCTACCTACCTACCTAAAATACTTCTATCCCTCCAGATCACCTCATGCACTCTATATGCTTCCACCAGCTCATGCACTCACTCATCCTGTGAAACAGCTCTGCACTGATGAGGTGCAGAGGATCACCAGCAACGTTTCATACTCTTAACATAAATACTCCTATGGAGGAGCCACCCTCGGGGTGTTTTTAGGTCAGCACTCACCCTTTGCTCAGCGCACCCACCCTCCATCCCCCAGGCAAGTCCCTTAAAGCTGTTCTCTCTGTATGCACACAGGGAGTTTTCCACGCTCAGAGGCTGTTCCTGCACATGCCCCAAGGAGCTGGTGGGGCTGAACCTTTCCTGGAGGACCATGGACTGAAAGAGGAGCTTCACCAGACCTCAGCTGCTGGTGCCCTTCGCCTGGACCCTGATGGACTCCACGTCAGGACTGCATTACCATGGTGATGATCTTAACCAAAACGCGGCAGAACAAAGGTGCTGACTCCGTAACAGGCAGGACTGAGCTGGTAAGAGCCCTGAGAGCTTTCTCGAAACTCGTTTGCGACCAACAGCTTTGCCATAGATTTATAATAAGGGCTTCTTGTGCTGCAGGGCTGGATCTTTACACTGTGGAATCCTGGAATGGTTTCTGTTGGAAGAGGCCTTAAAGCTCATTCAGCTTCAACTCCTGCCACAGGCAGGGACCCCTTCCACTGGAGCAGCTTGCTCCAAGCCCCTGTGTCCAACCTGGCCTTGAGCACTGCCACGGATGGGGCAGCCACAGCTTCTCTGGGCACCCTGTGCCAGCGCCTCAGCACCCTCACAGGGAAGAGCTTCTGCCTAAGAGCTCAGCTCAGTCTCCCCTCGGGCAGGTTCAAGCCATTCCCCTTGGCCTGTCCCTACAGGCCCTTGTCCCAAGCCCCTCTCCAGGTTTCCTGCAGCCCCTTTAGGCACTGGAGCTGCTCTAAGGTCTCCCCTTCAGGAGCCTTCTCTTCTCCAGGCTGCCCCAGCCCAGCTCTCTCAGCCTGGCTCCAGAGCAGAGCTGCTCCAGCCCTTGCAGCATCTCCATGGCCTCCTCTGGCCTCGCTCCAACAGCTCCATGTCCCTCTTGTGCTGCTGTCCCAGAGCTGAACACAGGAGATGGTTTATAGCACTGTTTTCTACTGAGCTGCATTAATATCCAAGGAACAGGGGATTAGGGAGTGATTGGAGTGCTGTGGCTTTTGCATATATGAATCTCAGTAAGCATGAAATGAAATAAACAATAGAAAAAAACATTAAATCAACACCTTGAATAACATGGGTGAGAAGTTGCTTCACCAACAGTGAACAGATGCTCATCATTAATAGAAGGATGAGCAAGTGGGGAACAGGATTGAGTGTGAGGTGGCAAAGGGCAGTGCTGTAGTACATAACAGTCTTTGTGGCAGGCTGGACTGATGCAAATGCAACCACGCTGGTTGAGCAGGCAACAGAAGAGCAAATGAGGAGCAGCAGACAGACTAAATGATGCTGGAAGGGACAAGTGAGGCCATGGGGCTGAGAAAGCCCAGAGCTGATTGTGGATGTTTGCTCCTCTGTCCTCCAGGATAGATGGTCATAGCCAGAGAAGGAATTAGACCAAAAGGCTATTCCTGCACTGAGAGTCTCAGATAAGGGCGTGCAGGATCACAGCAGGAAGCATCTGGCAGGACTAGCCCTAAATGGGCATGTTGAGCATAAAAGATATATAAATGTCTTAAGTTTGGTGAGGATGACAAACCCTCCAGCTGGGCTTCCTCGGCAGATAGTGCAGTGTGCTGGGTGAAGGGCAACCTGCCCTGGCAGCGCATGGTGGAAGAGAAGGCAAGCAAGGTGGAGGCAATGTTAAATCCTGCTTTAAAAGGGGAAAAATTGGGAAGGAAGGATATTGATCTGTTGGAAAAATGTCCTTGCTTTAGTGCTGGGAAGGCAGCATCTCCTGTGGCTGCTGCTCTGGGCACCAAGAGGCAGCATCTGATGCTGGCTGTGTCCTGCAGGTGTGCAGGCCAAGAGGAGGGGAACTTGGTGCAGAGGCACATGAGAAGTGGTTTCTTCTGCTCCTATGGGAAGGGGTGGGCACTGGGGCTGGCCGATGGCAGGGAGTGGAGATGCAGAGCTGTAATGAGAAACTTTGCCCCCATGTGTTTGCCGAGTGCCTCCCGCAGCGCTGGAGCTGGGTCAATAGTGCAGTGGTGGTTCTGGTTACACAAGGTGGATTGCTGGGTTGTCTGGGCTGTTGAATTGAGGCAAGAAGACTGGTACTCCAAAGAAGGAAAGAGTTCTTCCATTGGCTTCATGGGAAAGGCCAAAGAGCAAAGCCTAAAAGACATAAATGTCTGAGCAGTGGAGCAGTATCACCTACCAAAATCTGGTCATAGAATTCCAGACTGGTTGGAAGGGATCTTAAAGCTCATCCAGTCCCATCCCCTGCCACGGGCAGGGACCCCTTACACTAGAGCAGCTTGCTCCAAGCCCTTGTGTCCAACCTGGCCTTGAACACTGCCAGGGATGGGGCAGCCACAGCTTCTCTGGGCACCCTGTGCCTGCATTGCCCAAAGAGTTATACTCAATATGGGACATGTCACCTAAAGTTGTTGGGCACTCTTTGGAGACAGCTGCTTGTCCTTGCTGTCTCCTGATTAATTCTGAGCTGCTGCTTCCTAAAGGAGGGGCTTGACAGCTAGAGACACCCTTACTGCACATAGAAAAGTGGCACATGCTCCAAAGAAGATGATCAGCTCTTATTTACATTACGTCTGGATCCCATTGTTTTCTGCATCCACATCCTTCTATATTCACTATTTACAGTATTCTGTATGTAAAGTGGGATTCTTTTATTAGATTGCTCTGTGGAAGCAGGCTCCAGCGGTTATTATCATTATATATTACATTATTATCATCATCATCATCATCATGTGAGCAAGCAACATGTAAGATGTGGATGAGGAGAGAAGGTGCGAATGTGGTGGCCTAACGCCAGATAAAGCGCAGCTATGGTAGCACAGATGAGCAGAGAGGTCATGCTGGTGCTTCCCTCAGACGATGTAAAGCCTTGCTCAGATGGAATGGTGTTGCCAGGAGAGACACTTCAGAAGCAGAATATGGGTATTTTGGGGGATAATAAAAGAACAATTAGTATTAAAGTGATTTGCAGGCATAGCTGAAATGGCATGGAGCTGCAGATGACATTGATTTATTGCATATAGAACTGTCCATGCCCATTTTTAGAAGTCTGATGATGTCTCTCACACTGTCAAGAGGAAAATTCTTGGGAAAAAAAGAGCATGTAAAACAACTGGGATTATTTTGCACCCGTATAGTTGCATTTCCCCCTATTTTTAGTGCAAATCAGCACAATCTGAATGTGGACTCCCCAAAAGCGCTGTGGTGAGTGCCTTAGAAACATTCTATGTTTAAAAACCTAAATAGAATCATAGAATAGCTTTGTACCTAGATGGGAGGACTTAATGGGCTTGGATGGGGTTCAGATGCCACTGCTGCTGCTTACTTGTCAGTGAATTCAGTACAGAACTGCCACTGAATTCCAGCTCCCAATTCAGTTTCTCCAGTGTTTTAGGTCCTGGGGCTGGGACCTTGCTGCAGCTATTCCCATGGGTATGGAAGGACCAACTGCAGGACCCATAATCTGCAAGTTTGGGCCTCACCACCATCCCCAGAGTTAATGAAATTGGATTTCATTGATGGAAGATGACTGGGTCTGTCCCCTGGTCGCTTCTAAAACAGGACCATTGTGGGCACCCAAGGCTCTTCTCCCTCCTGGCTGCAATGTGGAGGTAGGGTGGTTTCTGGTGCCCCAGTCGAGTCTGTGGGAAGTGAATAGTTTCTCTGCTTGTTTGCAGCACACTCCAAAGATGAGTCAAGGACCTACCCTCTTCTCTTGTGGCGTGATGGGTAAGTAGGAGACGCTTCTGTCCCTGTTTACTGCACCTCTGTTCCTGCTTTCATAGAATCACAGAATGGTTTGGGTTGGAAAGGACCTTAAGCTCATCCAGTTCCAACTCCATGCCGTGGGCAGGAACACCTCACACTAGACCATATCACCCAAGCCCCGTCCAACCTGGGCTTAAACGCTGCCAGGGATGGAACATTTACCACTTCTTTGAGCAACCTGTTCCAGTAAATAGCAATGGGTGGGAAGATGTCCTGAACAGCTCAGTCTCCCCCAAAACACTCCCCTGTAGCCCCTGGGGTGGGCATCACCCACCTGCCCAACACAGTGTGGATGGAGTGGCACCCATCCCACCACCCGCTAGTGGTGTCCATCCTGCTCATGCCACCCTCCTTCCCAGAGGTTCTGCCAGTTACCACTGCTGAGTGAATTGCTTATCTCCTTCCCCCTCCCCTTTGCTTATTTTTACAGTAACAGTTGAGATTATAAGCACTTTGGGTCTGAGGTTGTGTTTGAGTATCCAGCCCATGACCGTGGCTCTTGAACTGTTGGCAGAATGCAAGTAATAAATATCAGTGTTATCACTAAAATGTTCTACCACTTGGCACAAAGTGTTTGGACAGGCCTCAAACAAGAAGGAAAATGTCTTAATTTTGCCTTTGATGGTAACCATGGTATAGGATGTTCAATAACTTTTAAGTCAGAGCTTACTATCAGTTTTTATGCTGAACAGCCACCAGAATTGATGGGGGATTGGTGCCTTGGCCCATGATACTGATAGTGCTGGGGGCTGTGCTGGTACATTGTGCTCTTTGGGCTTTGTAGGGGGAAGCAGTCCCAAAGTGAAGTCTCAAAACCCCATTAAAACTTGCAGGTCAAGTTTTATTTTGAGCTAAGCTGCTTGCTGTGAAAGCCAGGACTTTACAGACAAAGAGCTGCCCCTTTTCCTCATGGACACAACTCTCATTAGTGCTAATGGGACCTGAGCATCGACAGGGGATATTTCCCAAGCTCTCTGCTAACTCAGGCACTGGGAGGCAGGGAAAGATGGAAAGCATTTGGAGTTTTTCAGATGGAAGTCACAAGCTTCTGAGTCAAGAAGGGGTAGAGACAGCCCGTTCCCTTTCTCCTGCCTGTCAAGCATGAGTGAGGAACAAAGAAACCCGATCAGATGGTTTTGTCTTGCACTGCGGCACTGGCAGGCTCTCCAGCAGATCTGATGAGTCTATGCCTAATTGAAAAGCAGCTTGTCTTAAAGAGCTTTTACAAAGCCTTCTGTGTCTTCCTAATGCTGCTCTGATCTTCCTTGGCTGCCAAATGATCCTCTTTCTGAGGGGAACAAATGTCACCTCCTTGATCACAGCTTGCCATGTAATGGGCTTCATCATGCCCACTCCAGAGGAGCCAGTCTCTCCAGAACGCAAGGGCATCACTTAGCTTGGGTTTCATTTTAGGCATCCTTCCTGAGTGGTGTTCCTAATGTCTCCAAATATGGGTCACAATCAGACTAATCAGGTGCCAAAACTTGCTTGACTTTTTAAAGGAGACCCATGGTTATAGTGGCACCGAATGTAAAACTTAGGGAATGTTCCAGATCAAAGGGTAAAGTCCCTGTTGGTGGAAAGCACTGAGATAAATGAACACAGTGGAGTTTGGACTGGCAGCACAGCCAGCGGAAGGCAGGCTTATAGTCCCATGTGTGGTGTTGGTGGGATGGAGGGATGTTGGCTTAATTTTCCAGGGTTTTTACCTGGAAGTGGCTGAGGTTCTTGGCACGGCATCTTCCTGGCTGCCTTTGGAGGCAAGGGCAGCTTTGGGCAGGAAGGCAGCTTGTGGCTGGTCCCAGTGGCCATGGGTCAGCAGGGCAGGCTGCTGGGAGAGCATCATCCAAACCTGGATGGTGGCTCAGGAGCATAGTGTCCAGGAAGGAGAAGGAATAAGTTGGGACAAAGCCCCAAGGGGTGTGTAATGCACCATGACCAAGAAACCAGCTGGGGTGCTGCTTACCTGTGGCATAACGTGGGGAAAAGAGTAAGCTGAAGCCCTTACATCTTAGATGCACCTTAACCTCATAGGGGACTAAACAAATCAGGAGCCTGAAAATTGATTATAGATTGGAATATAACCGAATATATGAGTAGACATTATGAAAGACTTGATACATCAGATGATGCAATGTTAGATCCACTTCTCAACATGGCCTAAATAACCACCTAGTTTTTAGATTTAAAAGAAATACTCCTGCTAGGGTGGTGATAATACTAAAAAGATGGGGTTTACCTTTATATAGCCCTTTGCTGGAAGGAAGATTAGAAGTGAAATGCCTAGAACTATAAACGCAACAACTTATTTTTTCCTGTCTCCTTGGCGGGTCCTTGAAGCATCTGGAAGTATAAGAATTGTCTTGTGGCATAAGGACTTTTTCTCCTTCCCTTTTCTTCCCCTGCAGTCGCATATGAATGGCTGTGCTTGAAAAAGGTGACATAAAGTTGGGGCATTACTTTTGACTTCCTCTATTGAAATTGCTCAGCCTTTGAATGGATGGCAGAAGAAAATTCAGGCTATTTTAACAAGGCATTGGCAGCATCACCTTACCTTTCCCTAGCAGGTATATAACAGGTAATCAACATCGAAGTTGGTAGCACCAGCAGCTGCACTAGTCTGGTCCTGTATGAGAAGCTCAGCAGGAACATGCTGACAGCCATGGCCTCCTGGTTTCTGCATAAGCAAGAAGTTATCTTTGAGGCAAGCTGCAGGCTGGGGTTTATTAAGGCTGTGACAAGGTACTTGCTAGTGCAGTCACTCTGGATGTAGGATTGGAGTCCCGGTGCACGCAGAGTCCTGCTTGTAAAAGGGAGGAGGAGGAGGGGTTTGAGCCCATTGGGAATGGATGCCGCATACATCTGTGAAATGCTATTTTAATATAACCATCATATGCTTTTTCCTTGGAAAGCACCCCCAGAATCTGTCCTCATAGAGTGCTGCAGCAGGGCAGGGTGATGGATGAAGCGCATGGGTCAGTTTGTATGTCCTTTGGAACACTCCACTGGCATGGCTTGGCAACACCTCTCATCCAAGAGGCAAGTGTGCCAGAGAGGTTGGAGCCTTGGGTCTTGCTGTTGCACATCTCTTCATGTGGAAGTGGCATTTCGTCCTGCATGGGTGATGGAGGAAAGCCAAGAAGCCAGAAGAAAGGCCAGCCCCTTGATCGCATCCCAAGAGCACCCACAGGGCTTGCACCCTTCCCATTTCTGAACTGTGATTTTCTGGGATTTCAGGGGATTTTTGGAAAGGCCATTAGTGTAGAGCAGCATCTTGGTGCATCTTCAAGCACAGTCAACCTGGAGACAGAAAAAGCCACGCAGGGAAATCCATTGAGGCTCCTCTGGAGCAGGGAGACCTCACCAGAAGCTCACAGTGAAGAGCAGGGCACGTTTCACTGTTCAGATGGGGAATTTCCCTCTCCAATGCCAGCTGCTGGCACCAGGAGCCCACAGCACTGGTGTGTTTATTCTCCAGCGGTAGGTTTGGGGTTGTTGTTTTCATTTCCCATTGAAGCACAGCTCTGCACATCATATTTTAATCTCATTTCTGCAATGGGAAGGCTCCACTGCACTGCCGCCAGCTGATTACAACCAGTTCATTTGTTCCACATTTATAGAGTCGTAGAATAGTTAGAGTTGGAAAGGACCTTAAGATCACCCAGTTCCAACCCCCCTGCCATGGGCAGGGACACCTCACACTAAACCATGGCACCCAAGGCTCTGTCCAACCTGGCCTTGAGCACTACCAGGGATGGAGCATTCACAGCCTCCCTGGGCAACCCATTCCAGTGCCTGATCACCCTAACAGGAAAGAATTTCCTCCTTCTATACAATCTAAACTTCCCCTGTTTAAGTTTTAACCCATTACCCCTTGTCCTATCACTACAGTCCCTAATGAAGAGTCCATCCCCAGCATCCCTATAGGCCCCCTTCAGATACTGGAAGGCTGCTATGAGGTCTCCACGCAGCCTTCTCTTCTCCAGGCTGAACAGCCCCAACTTTCTCAGCCTATCTCCATACAGGAGGTGCTCCAGTCCCTGATCATCCTCGTGGCCTCCTCTGGGCTTGTTCCAACAGTTCCATGTCCTTTTTATGTTGAGGACACCAGAACTGCACACAATGCTCCAAGTGAGGTCTCATGAGAACAGAGTAGAGGGGCAGGATCACCTCCTTCAACCTGCTGGTCACGCTCCTTTTGATGCAGCCCAAATCAACTCCTGAACATAAACAGGGGTCAGTGGAAAACGCAGCCTGCTTTTTCCTCCATGAATGGGGACAAGGAGAGTGAAATTCAACTCAAACAACGTGGATAAAGGGACTTGGCCACGCACCTGTGTGAAGAGAAATGTTTGGGTGAGGATCCAAACAGAATTCATCTGCCAAGGAAAGGAGAGAAGGAAAATGGATTGAAACCCATAATTGTTTTACAAGTTGCCATAATAAATAATGCATTCATGTAAATTATTTCACTGGAAAAGAACGTGGAGGGAACTTGAGCAGAAGGATCATGCATTATGCATAAAAGGGAACTGTAAAAATATTATAGCAGCACATTTGTGTTGCTGCAGTTAAAGTTGTGTCAGCTCTGTGGGTTTGCACCCTCCTCCGTGGGTATGGATGCGGTCATTACAACTTACTCTGTGTCACCAGAGGAGCAGGGCACTCACTGAAAGAGGCCACCTGAAGCTGGAAGGTGCCTGGTGTCTCCATCAGCTGCTCCTGCAAAACCTGGAGCTCAGCATTTGGAAAGCTGCCTGTGATGCTCTGAGGATGGATCCTGTTCTCCATGGAGCTGTGCAAAGCTCTCGGGGATGTTTGGTGGACAACACCCATCTCCTTCATTACGGGATGTGCCCCATGCCCTGGACCACTGGGTTTGTTTGATGTGGTGAGGGTTGCACAGGAAAACAGATGGATGTTGTTGCAGGTTCATGTTCACTCTTGCAAGTGCATGTCTTGGTTTTACCTGAAAGGAAACTCAGGAACAGATAGCGGTGCAGATGTGTTTGAGCATGCTGTCAGTCATCCCAGGGCAGGTTGGGCCCTGCTCACATGCAGGTGGCTTCTGGTTTGTCTCTGAAAATAGAGAGGGGAGAAAAACCAGGTGAGGTTTAGTGCCAGGGCTTGTTGCTGCTTGCCCAGCCTGGTGAGTCCTGCTGGGCAGTGGTGGCCACTGTTCACCTGCACCCCAGATGCTCCTGCTGTTGGACACCCAACATCTCCTTTATAGAGCATCCCTTGCAGGGCTGCTCCCCATCACCCCAGGGTAAATGGCTCTGCCTCCAAACTGTCCCTAAGGCTGGGCAGGGCAGAAGGAATGCATTCAGGCTTAGGGGAGTGACACAAGAGCCAGGGCTCAGATCACCCTTTCTAGGGATGAATCAGAGCTAGCCATCACAGCCTTGCTTTGGAAAGCAGAAATGGTTTGGTTTTGGTTCCCCCTGAGGCTCGGCAGCCTGGGAGCTGGCAGCTCCAACCTGAACTGGATGCTGCTTCATGCCTGTCTCTGTTCCCTGCTGCTTCATGCATGGTTTGCAAGAGGGTTCAGGCTCCTGCTGCCATGGCCAGAGGCCAGGATGGATGGGTCTTGGAGCAAGCTGCTCTAGTGGAAGGTGTCCCTGCCCATGGCAGGGGTTGGAATTGGATGGGCTTTAAGGCCTCTTCCAACCCAAACCAGTCTGTGATCCTGTGAAAGGGCAGGACAAGAAACTCAGTTTTCCCCAGGCTGCTGATACCACCCCTCTGTGTGTTGGAAGCTGGAAAGCTGTTTCACAACCAAAGAGATGCCAGGAAATTCACTTTGTGTAGCCTCACCCTGGAAATACAGATCTACAGATCAAAACATCTCGAAAGAAATGTGCTGGATGTGCTCTCTGAGTGACTTGAAGTGTTCGTCTTAGCAGTTCTAAGTTAAAATCCAAAAGGAAGATGCTATCTCATCCAAGGACACAAACAGGGGAAGAGCCCCTCGTGCCCCACTTACATCATGCTCTGGTTGTATGGCTTCTCCTATCATTTTTTCAGATGGCAAAGGAGGGTTTTCCAGAGAAGGAACTCGCTTGTGAACCAAGAGGTTCTCATGGTGGGTTTATCCTGGAACAAATCACTGCCTTGGGATAAACCAGGCTGAGGTTTGTAATGTAAGAAAATGAATACACGCAGCAGTATTAATGGTTCCACTGCAGTTGTCATTATCAGCCTGCTCAGGATATGAGTCTTAGTCACAGAATCATGGAATGGTTTGGGTTGGAAAGGACCTTGAGATCACCCAGTTCCAACCCCCTGCCATGGGCAGGGACACCTCACACTAAACCGTGGCACCCAAGGCTCTGTTCACCCTGGCCTTGAACACCACCAGGGATGGAGCATTCACAACTTCCCTGGGCAACCCATTCCAGTGCCTCACCACCCTCACAGGAAAGAACTTCTTCCTTAGATCCAATCTAAACTTCCCCTAAGTTGTAACCCGTTCCCCCTTGTCCTATCACTACAATCCCTAATGAAGAGTCCCTCCCCAGCATCCCTATAGGCCCCCTTCAGATACTGGAAGCTGCTCTGAGGTCTCCACGCAGCCTTCTCTTCTCCAGGCTGAACAGCCCCAATGTTCTCAGCCTGTCTCCATACAGGAGGTGCTGCAGTCCCTGATCATCCTCGTGTCCTCCCCTGGGCTTGTTCCAACAGCTAAACAGCTGTTAGCTTAGAGCTAAGTCTTACAGACTGAACAGAAACCAGCAGCTTTTCCTCCGTGAGGCTTTCCTGAGTCCCTCAATTACATGCTTACCTCTTGGACCGCCCCATGTCCAACTTGTTTCAGGGTGAAAAGTTTTCTATTTGCTCTAAAGTCCCCATTTTCTGGGGTCTGTGGTAGCCTGGGACCCATCCGTGGTTCTGGCGGGGCTGTGCCGTGGTCTTCTCCTGCCCTGCCAAATCCCAGCTCGCACAGTGCAAGGGGAAGAGCAAATAGCCCCAAGCTGCTGCTGGGGATAACGGTGCAGTTCCCGCTTTCTTTGCAGGGTTTGGAAGATTTATGGCTGTTTGTGCTGCAGCAGGGGTGAAAGAGGAAGGTGTCCCGTATCCTCCTCCCCAAGGCCCTCTGTACAACGTGCCGCCTCCGGACGGAGGTTTACATGGCAACTTGCCATGAAAACTCGGCGTCTATTTCTGTTTCTTTTGTCTGCTGACCTGACCTGAGGAATCTCTCTGCTGGCAGCATAATGCAGAGGGGAAGATAATCAAGATCTCACCATAGATGTAGTTGTTTAGCACAGGGTTCGCACTTGCCATTGTGTTTATTCCAATGGGGACGGCAACTGTTGGACTGCTGTGTGGTTACTGAGGGCAGAGCCAGGGGGGAAGGGGCTGGAGCTCTTATGGTGGCAGCTGGATGCAGGGAGAAATGGGAATAGTGGCCAAGAGCGCTCTATGCACCTCAAATCTGACCTCCTGACTTGAAACTGAGCCTTGGTTGGAAGCGTTCTGCACTGCTGCATCTTCCCTATCAGCCTGGTACCTACAGCTGTGGGCTGGGTACTGCTTTTACTTCATCCTTCAGTTACCAGAGTGGAAAACCCCAAAACCCCTACGAAGCCTTGCATGATTTAGATATGATCAGATGAAACTTGGCAGCAACAGCAAGCACGGTGCGCTCTGTTCACAGCAGCAGTGACGGAGAACTGGTGACTGGTTTTGGTGATGACTTTTTTCCACTGCACAGCCGATGGGGTTGTCCTGTCCTACCATGGTTTTCCTGTTGAGTATCAATGCCTGCAGAGAGCCTGGGGAGCCAGGCCTTGATGCTACTTCTGTTGTTGTCAGTGGGATGTGTGTGTGGCTGAGATCATCACCCTTAATCCTCTCTTTGGACACAGTCATCAGTGGGATTTCTGGATACAGCTGCCTCCGGGTTTGCAGTCTTCCCCCATGGAAGACTTTGCACCATGCCTGTAGCTATATACATTTCAGGCCATGGAGCTGCAAGTTTCTTGGTTCTTTACCCATCTGATAAAATGACAAACCCGATCTGATAAAATGAGTATCTTTAGGGTAACCCCAAACCCATGCAACAGATCACCACCATCTTAGGCTGTGCTCTGTTGGAAGACTGTTAGGGCAGGTTTGCAGTGCAAATTCCCATGTAAATAAACTGAATGAAAGAGAGGGAGAACGTGTTAAAAAGGTGTATTAAAATGGGTGTATTAATCAATTTGTTCCTTTAAATAAACATTTCAACATTCTGTGTGTTAAAGAAATTCAAACAATTGGCTGTGCTAGGTACACATGGGGTTTTCAAGGCAGCCCCAAAGAGATGCTGATCCCAGGTTGCTGCAGTACAGTAGGAGTGTGTGGGTTCCTTCATGCTTCATAGGGGTAACTGACAGGGGGTGTCTGGGCCAGAGCACCCAGATTTGGGGGACAGAGGGGAGATGGACAATGAGCCTCACAACAGGGACCTGAGGACAGCATCTTGCAAAGACTTGCTGGAGGTTTATCATACATCTATTTTATGTATCTATATCTGTATCTATATGTCTATCTTATCTATATATATGTGCATACACACATATATATATTATCAGCCATCTTAGAGCTTGTTATGTGCAGCCCCTCTTTTACACAGTGTCTTTGGGTCGGTCTGGGAGAGATGCTCAGAGCCTCAGTGGGGTCAGCTGGTTTCACTGGAGCAATGCTGTTTTAGCAGTGTCTGAAAGCAGGACAGCCCAATGGGTGTTGAGTTGATTTTGGTTTTCCATAGGCTCTGATGACCCTGTTGGGATTTCTGTGTTATGACAGGTAGCTGGATGCTCGTGGGATTACCCCCTTTGCTGTTAGGATCATCCCAACTTCTGTTTCATCTCCTTTCTGGTGTTTGGTCATAGAATCATAGAATAGTTAGGGCTGGAAAAGACCTTAATATCATCCAGTTCCAACCCCCTGCCATGGGCAGGGACACCTCACACTAAACCGTGGCACCCAAGGCTCTGTCCAGCCTGGCCTTGAACACCTCCAGGGATGGAGCATTCACAACCTCCCTGGGCAACCCATTCCAGTGCCTCACCACCCTCACAGTAAAGAACTTCCTCCTTATATCCAATCTAAACTTCCCCTGTTTAAGTTTTAACCCGTTACCCCTTGTCCTGTCACTACAGTCCCTAATGAAGAGTCCCTCCCCAGCATCCCTATAGGCCCCCTTCAGATGCTGGAAGGCTGCTCAGGTCCTCAGGTCCCCTGAGGGCTGTCTCACCCCAACAGTGCTACATCTTTTTGGGGAACTCATCAGGCCATTACTCATTGTGGAACCCAGGACAAACCACATGTGTGTGAGACATGACTTAGCACAGAGCTAAGGCAATGGCCATACATTTTATACTGCTGCATTTCCCTTGGCTAGCGCAATCTGGAGACTCAAAGGCATGTTTTGATCTTCTCCTAGCAGCTTTGCTCGTGCTGCGATTATCACTTTGTCTCCCTCTCCATCTACACTGCAGCAATCGCTCTGCTGGCAGGTTGGAAAACCATATTCCAAGAGGTAATTAATTTGTTCAGGAGAACATCCCATATGCTGCTCCTTTTGTTTTACGGCCCTAGAAAGCGGATCGCAGAATTAACGAATGCTAACGCCCGTGCGTGTGTGTTTCTTACTTGGGTTCCTTTATTCCCCTCTCCTTTCTGACCCAGAAAATGACAGATGGAGAGATCTCAGCAGGAAATGTCCCCTCCAGCTCGAGCAGCCGGGCGCCAGCATCTGGGACTGCTTGTCGGACAAGGGCGAGGAGGGCTCGCGCTGGCCCAGGGACACAGCCACCACTTGCTCCGTCACCAACCTGATCAAAGACCTCAGCCTCAGCGACCCCCATGGCAACCCCTCGGCCCCCCCCAGCAAGCGCCAGTGCCGCTCGCTCTCCTTTTCGGATGAGATGTCCGGTTGTGGCTCCTCCTGGAGACCCCTGGGCTCCAAGGTGTGGACGCCGGTGGAGAAGCGGCGCTGTTACAGCGGGGGCAGCGTGCAGCGCTACTCCAATGGCTTCGCCACCATGCAGAGGAGCTCGAGCTTCAGCCTCCCGTCGCGGTCCAACCCGCTGTGCTGCGAGCATCCCGCGCTCAGCAGCCGGCTGGGATGCCAGCCGAGGAGATCAGCCACCGGCGGGCGCGGGGGGGACATGCAGAGGTCCCTGTCCTGCTCTCACGACCACTTCTCCTCCTCGGAGTACTGCGCGCCCTCAGCGAGCAGCACTCCTGCCTCCACACCGGAGCTGGGCCGACGGGCAGCGGGGCTCTCCCGGAGCCGCTCCCAGCCCTGCGTCCTGAATGACAAAAAGGTTGGGGTCAAGCGGCGGAGACCGGAGGAGGTTCAGGAGCAGCGGCCCTCGCTGGACCTTGCCAAGATGACGCAGGTAAGAGGTGGTGGGGCTGGTCCTGCAGACGGGGCTGAGCAATGAGGTGATGCTGTTCACTGATAAAACTCCTTTAGCATCCTCCTGAGGATGGGAGTGATGCAGATGTGACAGGGAGGCGCATCCTTCTATCTAAGGAGAAAATACATGTCCCTCCAAATGGATTACTTTAAGAAATTCCCACATTGCTGTTCTGTGCTGAGTTTTCCCCACTGATCCCACCATGGCATCGTTTCCTCCTGGCATGTGTTTCCAGCAGGATTATGTTAGACCCCACATTTTTGAGCTCAGGAGAGAGGAGCCCCATTGCTACCTCTCCCCATATGGGGAGGTGAAGGCAGCACCCAAGGCACCTAACCTAGGCCCCGTTAGGAGCTGAACTCATACTGCTACAGTATGAATATCTTAGCCTCTGTAATTTTCCACTCTGGAGATGTTATCACATTTCATATTCAGTTGCAAGCACAGATCACAACCTCCCACCTCAATCTGCTGCATAGAACCAGATAACAGATCTGAGCCATGAATCGGGGAGGGTTTTGCTCCCGGGTCCTCTCCCTGCAAAACCAAGTCACTGGAGTTTGGTGAGGGCCAAAGAGAGATGCTGCACTGAAGGACAGTGTGAGCAGCCTTTCCGTTTCACACTCATGAAGCTTCTCTTTCTGCAGTTTCATGAGTCAGCAGTTCCCACATCAGTAGTTTATAGTTGTAAAGTCAACGACACTACCCATGCTGCAGAAGATAGAGATAATGGGGGGCTGAAGAGCCCAGGGCTGCCACTGTGGGAGCAGGGAGTTCACCCTTGCCACATCCCATGGGGGCTGTCACCTTCTGCTGGCCACAAAACTCCCCCCTGGTTTTGGTTCAGTGCAGTTATCTGCTGTGCTTCATCCCGGAGGCAGCTGTGTTGGGACCATCTGCCCTGATTTTCATCATCAAGTTACAGAATCCCAGCCTGGTTTGGGTTGGATGTTAGAGATCACCCAGTTTCAACCCCTGTCACGGGCAGGGACACCTTCCACTAGAGCAGCTTGCTCCAAGCCCCTGTGTCCAACCTGGCCTTGGACACTGCCAGGGATGGGGCAGCCACAGCTTCTCTGGGCACCCTGAGAACATGGCTTTGGTTACGGGCGGGTGACCCAAGGATTACAAAAATCAGGTTACTCATCCTCTGCAAGCACAGATACCGTAAATAAAGGGTCCCACAGACCCCTGGTGCAAGGCACGAGCACTGTAGGAATGGGGAAGGGGTTACCTGGCATCTCCCCCAATGCTGGTGGTGGCAGGAGCAATGAGCATCCCCTTTCCCATCCTCTCCTCACCCACTGATCCAGGCTGGGTGGCCGAATGCCCAGCGGTTGCTACCACCAGCATCCAGCACCACCATTACCAAGGAACTCTGTGACTGGGATCCAGCCCAAGGCACATCCTGTGGAGCATCCCCAGTTTCCAGGGAGGAAACCCAGCCTGGTTTGGGCTCCCATGGCAGCGGGTGGATCCCGGAGGCAGGGATTTGGGGCATCAGGATGGGAAGAAAGGGAAGCTGGGAGCTGGATGAGGCCAGGGTTTTCTTAGCTATTGAGCTATGAGGAGCAGTGCTGGCAGGCTGCTCTCCACGTGGGAGGACTGGCACAGAGGAACAAGCAGGATTAGGCAAGTTATGGTGAGCATTCTTGCCTTTGGTGGGGCATGGGGCATGGTCAGGGCCCTCCCCAGGATGGGAATGCTGTGAAAAGCAACTAATGCCTTGTGGGCAGAAGGAGACAAGGGATAAGTGTGCTCGGGGAAGCCCTGCAGGCTTGGGTATCCCTCAGGCTGTTTTAATGGCTCTCCTGGAATGAGATTGGAAAGTTAGGTGTTAAGAGCTGAGGTAGCAGTGATGTGTTCGCGTGGCTGCACGTGTCCACTAGTCTGGCTTTATACAGGGTAGGAATGACTTGTGTGCTATGGTCCTCATGAGTCAAAGCAAAGCCAACGTGTCCAGGCTGGGTTTCCCAGTGTAACCCAAAGCATTCACTTTACAGATAGGGAAACTGAGGCACGAGGCATGCCATGAATCCCTGGGAATGGAGCTCAGGGTGCTGGGTGCTGCATCCACATCCAGCTCTGGCAGTGGATCGGTTAATTCTGGGTGTGTGCTGTAACCACATGTGTTATAGGCCTGAAACCCGGTGCCACAATCGAAACAGGACTAATTTGACCTGAAAGCAGTGTTTTCTTCATAGCAGAAGGGATATTCAGGCCAGGCAGGAAAGGAGGGAGCCACTCCTGGAAGCAATTACATGGCCACATAACTGGGCTAATGAAGAAAGAGACCTACATGTTAAAGTTCTGCTGTGAGGGAAAATCCTGGGGAGAACATTGCTGTTAGTTCCTCAGAATCCTGGGTTTGCCTCTTCTCTCAGCAATTCCCATAGCTTAGAGAGGGGAGGTGATCCCCTATCACTGCCCTAACTTATTCATCTGGCATCAAACCAGAGAGGCTTTGGCTTCAGGCAGAACCCAAACCATGGACATGGTAGTTGTTGAAATAACAGCAACTTTTAGAAGCCACAGCAGCTTGTGCATGCCTGAAGTGCCTGCAGATGCTCTGCTTTGGGCCTTTAAAGTGGGTATAAACCTGGTGGGTTATACTCAAGCAAGTGGGTGATGGTGATGTGTAATGTATCCCCAGTGTCCAGAGGCAGGTGAGACATGAGGATGCCAGTTGCTATGGGCTTGGGTACCAGGGGAGCTGCCTGGCATCTCTGACCACGCTTAAACAAGGACATCAACCACCCTGTCATTTCAGTGTGGGGCTTGGGGTTTGCATTCCAACATCAGCTTTCATCCCTCTTTTCCATGTGAAGCACAAGCCTGAGGAGGACAATATCCAACCTCTGGAATCCCATCAGTTGTTCTGATGGTGTGTGGCTTATCCTTGCAGCATTGTGCTCTCCTTCCTAGGTGCAGTGCTTGGTCTTGCAGCTCCAATGACCATGTCCATAAGGCAGGCTGTGCTCAGAAATGGTCAGGATCCATGAATTGGGATGTTCCTCAAAGAGCTGGTGTGGATGCACCTCAAAACTGTTGGAGATGGGCAATGTTGTAAGGGTGGCAGGAGGTGGCTTGGACCCCAGCTGTCCTGGCTGGGCTGATTTTGGCAAGAACGGGTGCTTTCACCCTTTGCAAGGCACCAGGAGAAGCTGTTTGGGTGAGAAAACATGGATTTGCTAAGCAGTCTCCCAGGGATGCTTTGTGATGGAGAGACACCCGCTTGGTTTCCCTCTCCCATGGTCTGGTTTGATTCTTCTCCATAGGGTACCTTGTTGTGTGTTGACCTGGGGACTGGTCATGTCCCACCTCCATGTCCACCACTTGCCAACATCCTTATGTCAACGTTTCCCACAGGATTTGGGGTGTTGTGTGCCGGAACGCTCGCAGCAGTGGGTTTGCCTGAGTCATCTATGGGAAGCAGAGCCATGGCCAGCCCTGGCTTAGCAGATTGCTGTCCTCACACAGGCTCAGCGTGAGGATGTGACATGCCTGTCACACCAGTGACAGCCGCCTGAGTGGCAGTTTGCAATTGTCCCTGGCAGTGGCAGAACGAGCCCTCGCTATCTCCTGCCCCTTCTGTTTCCTGCCTTGTAACACTGTGGTATGGGTGTTCCTGAGAGATTTTCATTTGAGAGAGCACATTTCCAGACACAGCTGTCCTTCTTGCAGATGTTTTTTAAGCAAATCACCTATATGTATGTATAAGTGGTATATATATATATTTTATACATATAAATATGTATAACAAGTCATATTTGTGTAACTGACAGAAGGGAGATTAAGATGAGCTCTTAGGCAGAAGCTCTTCCCTGTGAGGGTGCTGAGGCGCTGGCACAGGGTGCCCAGAGAAGCTGTGGCTGCCCCATCCCTGGCAGTGTTCAAGGCCAGGTTGGACACAGGGGCTTGGAGCAAGCTGCTCCAGTGGAAGGGGTCCCTGCCCATGGCAGGGGTTGGAGCTGGATGAGCTTTAAGGTCCCTTCAACCCAAACCAGGCTGGGATTCTATGAGAAACTAGAAGATTTCTGATGGCTCCCACAAGGATTTGGCTTCTCTGTGATCCTTTAAAGCATCTGTAATTTGAAGAGCTTCATCTCCCATACAAAATCTGTACTTATGTCTTCTTCTGAGTTTTCTCTAACCTCTTTCCTTTCCTGTGAGGGTTTAGCCATGTACACTGAGGACTCCCAGACAGCTGGCAGACTACTTCTTCATGAAGCTCTGTATTGTACAGTGTGGCCTATAGTAGATGGGACAGAGAGTAGCTGCTACAGAACAATAAGGCAATTAAAGCACAATATGCTCTTGTATCCTGTGGTTATGAGTTCATCATAAATAGCTGTGAAGGGAGGAGGAGAGGGCACTGGCAGCAGTGGACACCAGCTCAGAAGGTGGTGAGGATGAAGCACTGGGTGTGCCTGATAAGGACTTGTTATAGAGCAGAAAGGCGCCTGTTACGGGAAGGGTGCTGAGATGCTGGGTACAACGGGGCTATTCATGTTGTGCAGTGGCTGCTGTGGGCACACAGTGCCGTTCATGGGGTGACTTCATTGTCCTCAAGGACCACGTGCCTTCGCAGGGTGGAGTCATCTGCACCAAGGATCACAAGAGCATCCTTCTGGCGTGTGGATGTGTGGTTTGTGATTGTTTCAGCATTAAAAACACCTTCAGCCTGGGATGGAGATCCAGAAGAGCGGGTGGGTAAGCATAGAATCCCAGCCTGGTTTGGGTTGGAAGGGACCTTAAAGCTCCTCCAGCTCCATCCCCTGCCACAGGCAGGGACACCTTCCACTAGAGCAGCTTGCTCCAAGCCCCTGTGTCCAACCTGGCCTTGAGCACTGCCAGGGATGGGGCAGCCACAGCTTCTCTGGGCACCCTGTGCCAGCGCCTCAGCACCCTCACAGGGAAGAGCTTCTGCCTAAGAGCTCAGCTCAGTCTCCCCTCGGGCAGGTTCAAGCCATTCTCCT